AATTGAGATTTGCACACAAGTTCCGAAAGACATAGAAACTTAGGTGTGTGAAACACTTACATAGACATCTAAAAGGCTTAGAGTTGAAACTAGCACAACAAACTTTAGAGTGGGTGGTTCTACTATGTCTTCTCATCCTTCATTGTATCAGACTACCATGCCTGAAATGGTTTAAAAAAATGGACAAGAGTGATGTAGATAACTTTCTTGCCACATTTTTTATTCAAAATAATATTGCATTCAATGTTGTGCAACAAAAGTCATTCATCAATCTTGTTAAAGGAATTGCAGATTATGGACCAGCCTATAAATTGCCAAGCTATATAACTAGAGGACCAAACTTTTTGCAAGAGCAAAAAAAATGTTGATGAATATGTTGATGAAGTAAAGAAATCATGGTAGGTTTCGGGTTGTTCTATCATGTCTGATACTTGGACTAATCTTAAAGGAAGATGCTTTATTAATTTTATCGCATTATGTCCTAAAGGTTCAATTTTTCTAGAATCAGTTGAGATTTCTGAAGATAAGAAAAGTGGACTATTTTTAAGTCATTAGTCCTCAAAAGTCATTGATATGGTAGGACCTCAACACGTTGTTCAACTCATCACTGTTAATGGTTCAAACTTTGTTTCGGCTGGGAATATGATTGTGCAAAAGTATACTTCTATTTGCAACAACAGGTGTGCAGCACATGGAATTCAGTTGCTTTTCAAAGATATATATGACCAAATTCCTTTGATTAAAAGTGGTGTTGATAATGCCAAATCTATTCAGGCATATATGTATCGACATACTATTATTACTGCTTTGATGGGAAAAGTTACAAATGGACGCGAATTGAAAAAGCCATGTGCGACTAGATTCGCTTCTAATTTTCTTGTTGTGCAATCTTCGTTTGGTCTTGAGAATGAACTACGATTGTTTGTGGCATCTCCAGAATCAAGAGATTTATCTTATTCCAAGACGCGAGAGGCTATTAGTGTGACTGGAGTCATCCAAAATGATGTCTTCTGGTCTGAAGCAAAAGAGTTGATACATGCTTTAGAACCACTAGTTCGGATTCTTCGCTTAGTTGATGGTGAAGGTTCTACTTCTGGGTATTTATACCAAGCAATGGAGTTGGCCAAGGATGAGCTCAAGAAAAGGGTTGTAAAAAGTAGAGAGAAATATGAGAAAATGTTGACATTATTTGATGAGAGAAGGAAAGAGAATATCATCGATCCTATTCATGCATTTATTGCTACTCTCGACCCACTTTTCTTTAGTAATTCGAACTTTAAGCAAACTGTGGAGATGAAATCTGGTATGTTTTCTTTGCTTGAAAAGTTATACAACCTGCTGACAGGAAGGAGTTTCTAACGCAATATCGAGATTATACTATGAAGCCTTCCTCTCTATTCAATACTCCCGCATACAGTATGATGAAGGCATATCATCCTCGTAAGTGATTTAATTGTTTATAATTTTTATAGGTATATCGAGATTATATTAGGAAGCATTCTTCTCTTGGTGTGTTTAATTGCTTGTACTACTATTTTTTTAAACTTGAATAAAGTTACATAGGTTAACTTCAAAACTATTGCCTAAAAAGTCACAGTTGGTATGTCTCTTAATAATGTGTATTTACATTATTGTTATTTTTAATCATTTCTTCATTCTATATGTTTATTACAAGGTGTATGGTGGGAATTTAGTGGTGACTCTCAACCAATACTACAAGAATATGCCATTCGTCTTTTGAGTCAGCCTTGTAGTTCATCTGCATGTGAGTGTAATTGGAGTGCCTTTGAAGCTGCTCAAACAAAGAAAAGGAATCGACTCACTCCAGAAATGCTCGGTATTCTTGTGTACTATAGGATGAACACACTCATGATGCAAAATATTGATGAAAAGATGATTAAAGATTCTGATCCAATTGATTTGAGCAAATTGACAGAATGGCCTGATTATAGAGAGGTAGAGTCATACTCTCATATTCTAAATGGGAATGAAAACAATGAAGCTCACGAGAATTCAATTGATGATCCTAACATTGACAATGATATGGATGATGCTGGACTTTCAGATTTTTCTAAGACTTATATCAATGATGATGATGATAATGTTTTTGATGAATTTGGTATTTTAGAATAATTTTGTAGCTAGTGGAGGACTTTATACTTTATGGTATGGATGATGCTGGACTATTTTTCATTTCGAACATTTGCTCGATTAAGACTTTATTTTTTAGCATGGCAATTGTATGAACGTGCTTTCCTTTTTTGGATTTATTTCAATTTAAAGCAAGATTGTTGTTTTTTATTTTGTGAATAAATATGTGCATATTATAAGACGTATTTTATATTTAGGATACGTTTAATACACATACGTATGCGTATACCTATTTTGTACGTTTGAAACATATAATAAGACATATTTTATAAATTTTTAACGTATTATACACGTACGTACGTATTTCCGTATTATACTTTTGCCGTATATAACTAATTATGGGTACAGCTCCCCCAGACATCTCCGTCCACGATGGTCTCCTTTACTACAAACACCGCATCTATCTCAACGCGACCTCCCCCTCGCGTATGCCAATTTTGGAGGAATATCATAATACACTGCTGGGCGGACACCAGGGCGTTGAGCGCACATTTCGGCGTCTGGCAGGGGTTTGGCCTAATATGCGCAAGGACGTCCGCACCTTTGTAGCTTCCTGTACGGTGTGTCAAGCTACGAAGTACTCCACCCAAAAACCCAGGGGGCTGCTCTAACCCCTTCCCGTGCCCGAACGCGTGTGGGAGGCGGCGTCATTGGACTTCATCACGGGACTGCCACCTTCCCGGGGATTCTCTGTCATCTTGGTCGTAGTGGATCGACTGACCAAATATGCCCACTTTGGGGCCATGGCGTCCGGGTTTGATGCTCCTCGTGTGGCGCACACTTTCGTCGACATAGTGGTCAAGCATCACAGTTTTCCAACAAGCATTGTATGCGACAGAGACCCAATCTTCATGAGTTTATTTTGGAAGGAATTAATGAAGCTGAGCGGGACTTCGTTGAAATATAGCACGGCGTATCATCCACAAACGGATAGGCAGACCTAAGTCATGAACCGCGTCCTAGAATAATATTTGCGGGCATTCGCCCACAAACGCCCTACACGGTGGTCGACGCTTCTCCCTTGGGCCGACCCATTTCGGTTCCAATGGCCGCCAAACAGCAACGCACGATTTTGGTGGACGGACAACCCCAAGAGCAATGGTTAGTCCGATGGTCGGATGGTACGTCGGCAGATATGACATGGGAACCGGTGCATGAGCTTCAACGTCGTTTTCCAACTCTTCGCCTTGAGGACAAGGCCGACTCCGACCGCAGGGGAGTTGATACGGGTGAACTAGAGGACGGACTAGTGGATCAAGGAAACACGCAGGTGACAACGACATTAGAACGACCATGGAGGACAGTGGTACCTCCCCGAAGATATCAACACTATGTTTAGCATTTATAACTATTTTATCGTTACTTATTTTCTCCTTATTTTAATGTACTCTAGATTTTATTAGGCGAGCGAAATTATAAGCTCCTTCAAGGGTTTTCTTTTCGGTTCTTTCCCTTGACGCTTTTATTGAACCGACAGGTCGAGGCTCCTTATCAATATAAATATTAAGGGAATCTCATTAGAAAAGGAATAAGAAAAAACCTTTACTTAATTATCCTTTTAATTTTTCCCTTTCCTTCCTCCTTCATACCATCACTGCCGAACAAACCCTAGGCAGCTAGGGTTTCAGCCACAACTCAGTCGGCCAGCTCCGAAAGCCGCCCTATCATTGTGTCCCTTTTTACATTTGAATTTTTAAAATCTCAAAAGCTTATTATTCCTGATTTTTAAAATTCAAATTTTTTAAAAAATGGCCTCAATAGAATCTCAAAGTATTCACTCCCCTCCATTTTTCAATGGCCAAAACTATTCTTATTGCAAAATGAAGATGGAATCCTTTATTTATTTAATCAATTGATTTTGATTAATGGTTGAATGTGTTGGAATTTTTGGCATTTTTAATAGGCATTAAATGGACCAACTTGTGTATATTTGTCAATAGGTCCACTAATGGTTTTAACCGTTAATTAATGGACGTGTGTTCTCTTAAATGAGATAAATGTTTTGATAATTTATACGCCAAAAATGGTAGAGGGTGAATGAGAAATTGATTCTCAGAGTTAACCCGGCAATAGAAGAATATGGTAAGGATTGCAATTTTTTGCAATTTTACTAAACCAATCTTCTATTATTAATTTTACGTATTGTTTAAAATTAGTCCATTTTTACGGAGTTAACTGGCCATTAATCTCCAATTATTCGGGACAAATTTTAAATGGAGCGTAGCGTAACGGACGTGTTAATGGCTAATTAATCACCATTAACACGTCATTAGTGTGTCACAAATGCCATGGTTTAATACTAAGAATAAATTGTGTAAGTTATACTTTTTAATTTCTTAATTATAAAAACATATCAAGGGGCTCTCAATTCTTGGGTGCTTCATACGTGAGTAAGAAAGAAAAAGAAAGGGAAATACTTTCTTGTTTTTTTTGAGAGAGAGTTCTTGATTTTCCGGCTGACTTTCCGGCAATCCCCTTCAAAGTTTTTTTTTGGTCGCCAACGTTTCTACGTTGTTCTTGTTCGTTGGTGTGTGGTTGGTCCATACAATCTCCACACACGATAGCGGTTTTATCATGGGAGGAGAGTGCCCACGTTTTTCCAGTACGGTAGGCGGGCACTACTACCTTAAGGTCAGCTCCGACGACTCCGTTGTCCTTCCACGGTGTTTTGTTTTTGCAGTTTCAGTTCATAAAGACCTCGCTGCATTATGCCCTACGACATAACGTCCTCGCTGTCCAGTGCATAATATCCTCGTTGTTCAGTGCTTAATGTCCTCATACAACAAGGCCGTTTGAAGATATAGAAATTTATTTTCAACTTTGTATATTTTGAAATATTCTGAATAAGTTATAAATTCAGAATTTTGTTTATTTTTTTATCTTCCGGGACCGTCCATCTTCCCCGTCCGTTGTAATCCGTACAAAAATTATAACAATCTTAAAGTGGTAGTCATATCCGTGCACGATGGCGGGTATGGACGGATTCAGTTTTGACGCTCACACTGGAAACGGGAGTAGTTCCGAGACTCCGATTGTGAACGTTTCAGCTGGATTGGGTGGCTTTGTTGGGCAGACCACTCCGATCAACGTTCCTTTTGGATCGAGTGCGGCCGTGGGGTCCACTTCGATCACCACCTTTGTTGGATCGAGTGCGACTATGGGGTCCGCTCCGGTCACCTTGGCTATTGGACCAACCGCGGCTACGTCCGTTAAGGTCACCCCACTCGCACCGAATATGGATTCGGTCATACTGCTCATTCCCTCACTTGGACCGAACACGGGTGTCTTCACATTTGCACCGGTCGGACATCCCACTGTCATATTGCCTGCGAACTCTGTCAAAGAACCGGCAAAGTTCACAGGTATTGGCTTTAAAATATGGCAGCAAAGGATGTTATTTTGGCTGACCACCCTCAACCTTGCGAGGTACTTGAGGGAGGATCCCCATGTTGTGGGGGAGAACGCAGACGAGCCAACAGTTCAGGCCAATGTGGTGGAGCATCCACTCAAAGAGGGTTCTTCTAGAGGGGCCTAAGCCAAACAAGGACAAGAAGAAAATTGGTCCTAAAGTAGTTTATTTTATCTAGCAATTATTTTTTAAATAAAATACCCCGAAAGAAACTTGTTAAGACTTCTTACGAGTTGTGGTATAATAGGAAACCTTCCTATAAATACCTGAAAGTGTGGGGGTGCCTTGCAAAAGTTTTAGCACCACCACCAAAGAAAATAAAGATAAGTCCAAAGACCGTTGATGGAATCTTTATTGGCTATAGTGGTAGCGCGTATCATTTCTTAGTGTATAGGTCTGATAATCTAGAAATACATAAGAACACGTGCAAAGAGTAACACGTATAATGGTAAGTCTAGACATATTTGTCGTAGACACAAAACCATTAGACAACTTCTCACAACTGGGATTATCACAAATGACTATGTGGTGTCAAAAGATAATCTGGCGGATCCGCTAACCAAAGGGTTAACAAATGAGTTGCATGAGAAGTTGGTGGCAGGAATGGATTTAAAGTTGTGCTAGGACAGTCCTATGAAGGAAAACCCAACCTGGCGGGTACCCAGGTTCAATGGGACAACCTACTTGTAGGATTAAGCGTGGTCACTGTAGGGGCGGTACCAGAACTTCCAGTCAGGCCCTTCTGTTCCTGCTAAAGACAGTGACTCCCGAAAATGATGAGGTTAACATATAAATATGCTTTAATGATTCTTAACCAATAGACACGGTGGTCTAAGTGGAGTAATCGGGATACTCTTAAAGAATCACCTATGTAAGAGTGAAGTGTGGTCGCTTCAAATGGAGGATCTTGGGCTAAATCCTCTAAACACTCTCGCAAAACCAGGCGCGTGTCCCACGACCAAAATGGGCACAACCATGAGAACAGAATGACGTTTGGTTGAAATCTGTGTATAGTATACTATCGTTTACACAAGCGGCAGTACAGTTCAAAGACATCGCGTTCTACTAAACAGCCAGTAAAGAAGGTATACTTTACAAGGGACATGTTCAAAAGTGGAGACACTTACATGTTCTTTGCAGGTTTTCAACTTAGGATGTTGTCGACTCCCAAATCAAATTTTCATTTATGTGGGGGATTGTTGGAATTTTTGGCATTTTTAATAGGCATTAAATGGACCAACTTGGGTATATTTGTCAACATGTCCACTAACGGTTTTAACCGTTAATTAATGGACGTTTTTTTCTCTTAAATGAGATAAATGTTTTGATAATTTATACGCCAAAAATGGTAGAGCGTGAATGAGAAATTGATTCTCAGAGTTAACCCGGTAATAGAAGAATATGGTAAGGATTGCAATTTTTTGCAATTTTACTAAACCAATCTTCTATTATTAATTTTACGTATTGTTTAAAATTAGTCCATTTTTACGGAGTTAACTGGCCATTAATCTCCAATTATTCGGGACAAATTTTAAATGGAGCGTAGCGTAACGGACGTGTTAATGGCTAATTAATCACCATTAACACGTCATTAGTGTGTCACAAATGCCATGGTTTAATACTAAGAATAAATTGTGTAAGTTATACTTTTTAATTTCTTAATTATAAAAACATATCAAGGGGCTCTCAATTCTTGGGTGCTTCATACGTGAGTAAGAAAGAAAAAGAAAGGGAAATACTTTCTTGTTTTTTTGAGAGAGAGTTCTTGATTTTCCGGCCGACTTTCCGGCAATCCCCTTCAAAGTTTTTTTTGGTCGCCAACGTTTCTACGTTGTTCTTGTTCGTTGGTGTGTGGTTGGTCCGTACAATCTCCACACACGATAGCGGTTTTATCATGGGAGGAGAGTGCCCACGTTTTTCCAGTACGGTAGGCGGGCACTACTACCTTAAGGTCAGCTCCGACGACTCCGTTGTCCTTCCACGGTGTTTTGTTTTTGCAGTTTCAGTTCATAAAGACCTCGCTGCATTATGCCCTACGACATAACGTCCTCGCTGTCCAGTGCATAATATCCTCGTTGTTCAGTGCTTAATGTCCTCATACAACAAGGCCGTTTGAAGATATAGAAATTTATTTTCAAATTTGTATATTTTGAAATATTCTGAATAAGTTATAAATTCAGAATTTTGTTTATTTTTTTATCTTCCGGGACCGTCCATCTTCCCCGTCCGTTGTAATCCGTACAAAAATTATAACAGATTGTACTTCATGGGCCATTTGTACCGAGAAACGATGATTTTGCAGGACTATCCTCAGAGGACAAGAGAAAATTGTAAATGAATACAAAGGCGAAGAACATCCTTCATTGTTCCCTTGGACCCGATGAGTTCGCACGTGTGTGCTCGTGCAAAACAGCCAAGGAGGAATGAGATTTTCTTCAAGCCACGCATGAAGGAGCTGAGACACCTCCACGAAGCAAACCATGTTGGCCCTCGGAAACTCACAATATGAAAGCTTCAAAGTTGGCTAACACGAGTCGATCAATCCAACATGCCAATAGAAGCTTCAATGAAATAATCAACAAGATGAGTAAGTTGGGTAAGGAATATTCTACAAGTGAATTAAATACTAAAATTTTACTTTCTTTGTCAAAAGAATGGCATAATAGTATTGTAGATCTTTTACCCAAATGTGCAACGGAAATCACCATGCACCCACATTTGGTCTTCTTTATATTCGCACAAGCTTTTGATGATTAAGATGAAAGAAGAATATTTGTGAGAAGACCCGAAACGAACCAATGCGTTCAAGACATCAATTGAGGAGTCTAGTGAAGACTCAAGTGACTCAAGTGATGAGTCAAGTAAAACGGATGAAGCATCTGATGACTCTAATTCGTCAAGTGATGAAAAATACGAAGAAAGAGAGATGAAGAAGAAATACAAAAGTTTTCTCCAATGGAAATTTTATGAAAACTAAAGAAGGAGAAAATCAAAAGAAAGAGAATATTGTAAACCTTCCAAGCAAAAAAAATAGCGGCATAAGCCAAGGTAAGTTTCTTTTTTTATTGGGATAAGATATTTTGTTTTTAATTGTTTTAAAAAATGAAACCTTATCCCATATGTGCTTCAATATGTTTAAGCCTTGGTTTGCATGATTAAATAATATTTCAAAATTCATTTTTTTCATTCATTTTAGAAAATAATTCCCAAAAATCTTTGAAAATTATTTTTTTAAACGTGCATCATTTTAGGGGGAGTTTTTGTTTTAGGAGGAGTTTTTGTTTTAGGGAGAGTTTTGTTGTAAATGCACTTTCTACCTAGTGATCTCCAAACTACTACCTCCGTCCCAAAAAGATTTACACGTTTTGACTAAAGTTGAAATTAACGGAGGGATAATTTTGTGTTGACTTTCCAAAATACCCTTGATGTGATGGGTAAAAGTAGAATGTGATGTGTAGATTATTAGGAAAAATGTATGATGTGATAGGTAGGGTTTGAGAAAATAAGGGATAAAAGTGGTTTTTTAATTAAAAATGGGTAGGAGATTGTGGGAAGCAATTTTTTTGAAAGGTGTAAATCTTTTTGGGACGGAGGGAGTATCATTTTTCCCAAAATTCATTTTGATAGGGCAAGGATTTTCAAGAATTATACATGCTTTAAATATTTTCAAAATGCCCTTTTTAATTTTAATAAAGAGAGAAAGATGTATACTTCAAAGTAATGCATATGCAACTTGACTTGAGTGCATTCTTGTGTGATTATTTGCATGAAACTTAAACTTTTTAATAAACACAAGAAAAGTTCAAAGTGAATATTTTCAATATGCTTACTCTTAGGTGAGCTTGCTTGCTTCATTATTTCATTCCCGCCTAACTCACCTTGAAGTATATACGGAGTATATTTTTTGTTAACATTAAAACACGAGTCTTTAGCAAAACAAGGCTAACAAGGATTCATAGTCCAATCAGGAACAATTTTTGTTAACAAATACTCCCTCTGTCCCCCATAGATCTTTCCAATAGCCCTTTTTCTTTGTCCACAATAGATCTTCTCATTTCATTTTTTAACAAGTAAAATACCACAACTACCCCCAGTCCCCACTTACTTTATTTATTACACCTCACCCACCTCATTTAATACACTCCACCCATTTTTCATTAAGGGTCTTATGGTAAACTTTCACCTTTTTTCAACTCTCCTTAAAAATCACCAAAAGTCAAAATGAGAATATCTTAGGGAAGGAGGGAGTACTCCGTACCTCGTAGGAGCTAGAAACACTATGGACCAGCAGAACCCAGCCCGTTGAGAGGCCTATCATCAGGCCATAATCATTTCCCAAATTTTCTTATAAATAGAAAAGATGTACAAGAAGTGCAGTGTTCGAAAGAAGAAAGTAGAAACACCTTTCTACGCCTCTTCCCACTTCTCCTTCTATAACAAACAAATCCAAAACCTTTTCATTGATAACAAATCTAAAACGTCTCTTTCCCTTCTTTTTTCTCTAAGCGCGCAGCAACGCAACACAACCATGGTGGTCCTATCGAAGCATGTAATCGAACAACTCTCCATTGCCAAGCCCCACAAAAGCGGCGCCGCCACCTTCGGCATCCCTTTGATAGACCTTTCCAAGCCGGAAACCGCCCAAAACCTCCTCGTGAAAGCGTGCGAGGAGTTTGGGTTCTTCAAAGTCGTCAACCACGGCGTTCCCACCGAGCTCATAGCCGGCCTCGAATCAGAAGCCGCCAAGTTCTTCTCCTCCCCCCAGAGACAAAAGGCCGGTCCTCCCCGCCCGTTCGGGTACGGGAGCAAGAAGATCGGGTCCCACGGGGACATCGGCTGGGTCGAGTACATTCTGTTATCCGCCACCAATCCGGATTTGAACAACTTCTCGTCCGTGACCGGCTTCGCCCCGGAAAAGTTCCGGGGTGCGGTGAACGAATACGTGAAAGCGGTGAGGGAAATGGCGTGCGAGATATTGGAATTGTTGGCGGGGGGGTTGAGACTGGAGAGGAAGGACGAGCTGAGCAGGCTGGTGAGGGACGAAGAGAGCGACTCGGTGTTCAGGGTGAATCACTACCCGCCGTGCCCTGAGTTGCAAGAAACCAATGATAAAGAAGACAAAGGTTCGGTAATTGGGTTCGGGGAGCACACAGACCCGCAAATCATATCTGTTCTGAGATCAAACAACACTTCGGGACTCCAAATCTGCCTCAAGGACGGCCGCTGGGTTTCCGTCCCCGCCGATCAGACCTCCTTCTTCGTCAACGTCGGTGACTCCCTCCAGGTACGCACCGCCACCGCCACCGCCTCTGTTTTTTCTTACGTGCTCTCTACATAGTACATACCCTCTTTTCTGCTTTTTTGCTGTTTTCAAAGTGGTTGCCGTTTTCCACCGAACGGATTCCAAGGATGGACTTTATTTTAAACGCCTATCCTATCTCTATATTCGGACTTTATTTTACCTAAAATAAAGTATATGAATGAATTTAGCAACACTCATTTTATTTTAAAAAGATGGACCTCCGTACTCCCAAGACTTTCTTCAGAATTGAATAAATTGTAAATTCCAAAATATTTGTACTCTCCATCCTAAAACGTTCTTCCTGTTTTTGTTTAGGAGTTTTGGCCGATTCTATTTTCAATTCAATTTATTTGATTTTAGGTGTAAAATTAAAAAAATAAAATCTGTATATTTAAAAACTACATAAAAAGTTCTATAAAACCAATAATAACATGACTATATTATTTTATCAAACAACTAACAAAAATATGTTTAAGAAATTGATTAAATTTTGATCATGTAAGTAATACTCCGTAACTGGGATGAACGCTTTAAGATGGTGGAAATTTGATCAAAAACATTATGCTAATATTTTGTGTTAATGTAAATATCACTCCACAGTGTGGTTTGCAAGTCGCTTTATTAAAAAAATATTCCCAGCTAACTTGCGGGTTCAGTGTTCAGACGCTCGACCATTACGGATAACGTTGCTCTATCCTATGATCCTATCTTTAGGCCTCAACTAAGTGTCGTTTAAAGCCTAATTAGGTGTTAGGTCTTAATCCATTTTGTTGCAACAAGGTCTTAATCCATTTTATTGTTGATACAGGACATCCTTGTCGATATATTTTACCCTTCATAGCATTTTTTTAATTTAACTAAATAGGGTATAATATTGCTAAATTTACCTCTAAAGTAGCTATATCTACACTCTTTTCCAACAATTATTAAATCGAGACCCATCAACATCGCTTTAACATTGATGTGAATTTAGTAAATTTGAGTGAAAAGGCTAGATATATCCATTTTGGGGTTGGATTAAGCAACACCCAACTAAAACTGTCAAGGAACCAACTCAACCAAAAACTCAAGCTTTCTAACACGCCCCCTCACGTGCAGGCGTAGTCTTTTTCGAGCCTTGCACGTGAAACCTTAATTTTTTAAAAACTGGGCGGCGCTGAGTTTTGAACCCGTGACCTCTTAGTCAACGAGGCTCTGATACCATGTCAAGGAACCAACTCAACCAAAAGCTCAAGCTTGTGGTTGTGGCCCAGGAACAGTTATTTATATTCTAACAAAAACTTGATGGAGAATTGAAAAATAAAATGACTCATTTATTTAAAAATTACTCTCTCTGTCCCACAAAACTCTTTTCTATTCATTTTTCATCCGTCCTAAAAAACACTTCCCTTTTATATTAAAAAGTCTTTTTTACCTATATTAATTCTTAATCTACCTATCCCATTATACTTTTTCTCTATAAATATACTCATCACATTCTACTTTATCCATCACATCAAAGGGCATTTTTGGAAAGTCAATACTAAAATACACTCACCTTAAATTTTTTAAAAGTCAAAATGAGATTTTTTTTGCGGGACGGAGGGAATATTATCTTTGCCCTAAAAAGATTATTTGCGGTTTACGATGTTTAATTGGCAAATAGAAAGATTTTTACTCCCTCCGTCCCTAAATATTCACAACATTTGCTTTTACAGCAGTGTCGGAAACTTTTGTTTATTTCGACGTTTTCATTGATTATTTGATAAAATAAAATATTCTTGACACCTCTCATTTCGAAGAACTTTTCATGTAGTTTTTTTATATGTAAATTTTATTTTTTATTTCTTTACCAATATGTAAATAAAATGAATTGAAAAAACTTAATATTTTACCTCGGGAATACAAATGTGGCAAATAATTTGGGACGGAGGGAGTATGAGACAAAAGGAATACATAAAAGTTTTTACCACTTTATACTAGGTATTTAACAAATACTCTATAGAGGAAGTCGATCTAATATGATACCAGTGTTATTGGTGTCAATTACTTACACTAGTATATGTAAGGGTAGGAAAGGGGTGTAGGGGGGTGAAAATTATCATTTTTTTTATCATACTAGTATTTTGTGTCAGTGTTAATCGTGAAAATATTGATGCATATCTTTACTGTACACTTAGAGTTACATTCTTTGATGTACTCCTAGCATACTTTTTTTTTTTAGTTCAAAAAATACACATTTTGATGGAGGAGGTGGTAATTCCATTTAAAAGAAAAATGAAAAATATATATATATATAGATATATAATGTAGATGTGGAATGGGAATGCAGGTGTTGACAAACGGGAGATTTAAGAGCGTTCGGCACAGGGTATTGGCAAACAGTAAGAGAGCAAGGCTGTCAATGATTTACTTCGGAGGGCCACCGCTGGGCGAAAAGATAGCTCCATTGGCTTCACTCATGGGGGGAGAGGAAGACAGGTTGTACAAAGAGTTCACTTGGTTCGACTACAAGATCTCTGCCTTCAATTCTCGCCTCGCTGACAATAGGCTCCTCCCCTTCACTCTTTGATCATCATCATGATATGTTAGACTATAGTACTATCACGTATTTGCCAGTTGGCCAGATACAAGACGACATTGTGTAGTTGGCAAGACAAAGAATATCCCGAAAAATAATATTTGAGTTTGGTTAGTGGCATATGTGTTACAGGATATCTGCAACTCTTAGTCTTCGCCCGTTGTCATCATCAATCAATCTGTGATTAAAATCTAATTTACTTTATCTCATGTCACTTTTGACCCCTACCCTATCAAGGGAGACTTAGTATTCATTCTCCATGGCCTGCATCAAAATCTTTACTCGTCAGTGGTCAAACCGCCCAACCCCGGCCCACAACTACTGTTTAGTAGCTACTGGCTACTGCTACCAAGTCCCATCCTAATCATCAATTCATTATTTTTACTACTGTATTTTGCTAGGATTGAACTGTTTAGTTATTTGTGAGTTACTGTATTGATTTAGTTTCCCAAACAGGTACGTTTTGTGCTAACCTATCAGCTGGATGTAATTCCGATGGGCAATGCTAGGAGTACACCAACATGGGGTACCCCAAGTGTACACCAAGCCAACACAGACACACACAGACACCAAATGTCTGTGCAACACAGACACTTTGTGTCTGTGTGTGTCTGTGTTGGCTTAGTGTACATTTGGGGTATCCCATGTAACCCATGTTGGTGTACCCCTAGCTTAATTCAATTTCAATTGTTCTCTGGTTCTTACATCTCCCTATCCCTTCCATTTCAAAATACTTTGGTCATTACATCTCGGTTTAATTTTATAGCTCACATTTATTTTTACCCAAGTAACTGAAACATCTAGATCAGAGTGCAGCTAGGATGTAGTCCCTCCGTTCCTCAAAACACTTCCGTTTTAATTTTTTGCGCATCTCATAAAATACTTCTATCACACCTAAAATGTCTAAAATACTCCCAAAACAATTTCTACCCGCAATAAACCACATAGTGAGATATATTTTAGATACTAGTATTCCTACCCGTGCAACGCACGGGGTCGAACGAATATCTTGTCGATTCTGAATTTCTTCAATAATGTAATATTTTTTTCCGTAATAAAGGAAATATACTTCATGCATGATTTATAATAACACAGAAAAGAAATGCAAAGTAAAAAAAAAATAATATTTGAGGAATTGAATCTACACACAATAGAGTTTGTTTTAATACCAATTTTTTTGAAAGACTTCAGGGTATACAACATTTTTGGTATGGCTGCAAGGATTTCCATTGTCATCTAAGACTAATATTTTTAATCTTGTCTTTGTCTTCACTCGCGAAACAGCAATATAAAGCTGACCATGAATGAACAGTGACTTAGTTAAAAATAATCCAACAAATGACAATGTTTGACCTTGACTTTTTTTAATAGTCATAGCAAAACATAAGACTATTGGAAATTGTCTTATCTGGAACTTCAGAGATATAGTCTTGGAACAGACGAAA